CGCGGCGACTGACGCCTCCGCCACCGTCGCAGCCTCACCAGCGGAGGCCCACAATGACGGCGGCGGGCGCAGCGCCGGCGAGGGCGTCGTGGAGGAGGCGGAGGCATCAGTCGCCGCGGCGGCCACGCCGCCGTCCGCCCCCTCCCTCGCCCCGGTGACTCCCGCCACGCCCGTCCAGCTCGCCGGGGGGGCGCACGGTGTAGAGCTGACGCCACCGGGCAGCGGCAGCAGCAGCAGCAACCAACACCTTCACAACAGCGAAAACACAAGCAAGCGGCTGTCCGCGAAGAATGAGGAGGCCAACGCGGACGTATGCCACGTCAACAAGGCCTTTGTGGAGCGAGTCCGTCGCTTGCAGTTTCTGGCGTACAGTGCGATGGCCAAGGGCGCGATTTCGTTGGATACGCAGCAGCGGCACAAGCAGCGCATCTGCAAGGGAAAGTGGGGCCGACAGCGCGTCACGGTTGCAGTGGAGTGGGATGTGTTCCTTGTGGTTTACTTTGTGAAGGGCACGGCGTTTGGTTTCACCTCACGCAAAAACCTCGTGCTGGTGCACCCTGTGGCCTCCGGGCTCCGCTGCTTCGTCGAGGACGGCGACGGCAGCTCTGGCGGCCGCGACCACGTTATACACTTCCGTCTCTTGCGTGCGCACTCCTCCGACGAGTTGGGCGTCCCATCGCAGGAGGTAGAGCGACGGCTGCAGGAGGTTTCGGCGTCGAAGGACTTAAGGTCCAGCGCCTCTTCGCACGGGAGTTCTCTGCCGCTGCAGAGCCTGACAAACAGCAGTCTCGGGAGTGAATTCTCCTCAGTTGCCACGCTCGACTCCGCAGCGTCGGCGCCGGGCATGGGGCGGCTCCTGCAGCGCTCCGTGTCGTTTACAGTGACGGTGAGTAGTGCGTCAAAGGCCCGTGAGGCAGTTGCCGCCATTCGCGGCGCAGAGCAGCGTGCGGTGAAGATGATCCAGCAGACAACCGCAGAGCAGGATAACCACGCCGGGGCTCGCCCAATTCCCGCACCGCGGGCGGCTTAGAGGCGGCGGGGCGCGCATGTATTTTAGACGCCCCCATGCATATTTATTCACGTGTGTGTGTGTGTGTGGGAAGTACCGCGCCACACCCGCTTGCAACGCTGCGGTGTCTCGCTTGCACGTTGGAGGAAGCGGCGCTGGGCGGCAAGGCGTGGGCGCTTCTGACGCTGCCCTCGTGTGCGAGTCCCGCGGCTCCCAGGAAGGCGAAGAAGACGAAGATAAGCAGCAATGAAGCAAAGAGTGAACGGAGTTAGTATCATCTATGGTTGTATATCTATCTACATATATATATATATATCTCTCTCTTGTGCCCCACTGCCTTTCACGACTCCCTCCCCCACCGCTCCTGCCTTTCACCGTGGCGGCAGCTTCCTCGACGCCACATTTTCGCCCCGCCACTTGACGCGGTTGAGCTGCCACACGCCGCCGCGGCCTGTTTCTCCGCGTTGTTGGCTGCGCGGCTGCAACCCCCCCGTGCGCCGCGGTTTCACGTTTGCCCCCGCCCCCACCCCTCTTTCTCCCCAAGGGCAGGCACACGCGGCAGGCACGCACCCGCGCGGGCCGAGGACGCGTACGCACACACACACACACACACGGGAAAGATAGAGCGCGGGGGATGTACAAGAAGGCGCTGCACTCCTTCTTCTTGAAGGTGCACCCGGATTTCTTTCACCACAACCGCAGCCAGCAGCTGGTGAATGAAAATTCCGTGGCGCGCCTCAACGAGCTGCTGAGCTGGGCCAAGGCCTTCAAGGGCGGCACGCTGCGCCCGCCCCCGGCCACCGCCATCACGTTGACGTTCTACAAGAAACCCGACGACGACGACGACGCGGACGGGGGGACGCCACCCTCCGCCTCCTCCTTCGCCCGCCGCGGGTTTGCGGCCGAGGCGACGCCGGCCTCGTCCCTGATTGAGTCCACGTTTGAGCTTCCGGGGAACTTCACGCCGAGCGACGCCCACCGCGGCTCGGTGGAGCGGTGCGTGAACAAGTTCCTGCGGGACCTGCTGCGCCGGGCGGCGTGCATCGACAGCGTCACGGAGTCCATCTCCACAGCCGAGGATGCGACGGCGGAGCGTGCGGAGGTCAAGCCACTGCGGCGGCGCCCCGGTCCACATCGGCGCAAGCTGGAGAGGCCCAGGTCGCTCCTGGATGAGGCGACAGAGAGCATCTCGCTGCAGTGGAGCATCACCCCCGCCCCCACGTTAGAGGAACTCATGGAGGCCGATCAAATTCTCTTTGCGCGCGAGCTTTCCCCGCTGCAGTCCGCCGCAGCGCTTCACACGCTGCGCCAGCATCTTGGGGAGCTTCGCTACCCGGCGTGGGAGTCCATGCCACTCATCGTATCGAATGAATTCAACATTGGCGAGGTGTCGGGGACAATAACAATTCCGTGGGACTTTACTCCGCAGCAATTTCTTGCCTTTTTGGCACGCAACGACGCGGCCATCCTTCGCTGCCGTGAGGCCGCCACACATTTTGCCAACACGATGGAGCAACTCATTGCCGAAATTAGTAACGAACTGGAGCTGGACGATGTTTTGATCTCCTGCAACCACAAGGACGCCATGGTGGTGCTGCAGCTGCTGCACCGCAACAAGGAGCTTTTGCGCGGCTACGGCCTGACAAACCTCACGCTGGAAGTTGGATTCCGGCACGCCATGCGGGCGAATGGTGTGGTGATCGTCAGCAGCGCCCTCACCGCCGATGAGCTGCGCCCGTGGCTCAAAAAGCTGCAACCCAAGCTAGCCCTGCAGAAGCGGCTTTACAAGATCTCAAAACAGCTGTTAGAGGCGACAATGTGGCACCTAAAGGAGTTCCGCACTATGGCTGAGCCCGGCGGCATTGACGCTTTTAACAACGACTACACCTATGCGCAGCGCCTGGAGTGGGCAAAGGAGCTCTTTCGCATCGGCTCCTCTCTCTCCCCTTGGGATTGGAAAGACATCACCTTTGTGCTTGCGCCGGACGTGGACGTCGACTGGGCGCGGGGGCTCATTGCGCTTCCCCACAACTTTAATGGAGACGCCTTTGTGCGCTACGTGGAGGGCATTCAACACGAGGCGAAGCGGCGCAAGCGGGAGGAGCTGCTGGAGGAGAGCGCGTTGCGGCGCCAGGAGGCAGAAGACACGCGGCGGCAGGCGCACGACGAGGCGTTGATGCTAAAGAACGAAGAGCCTAACGCGGGCGGCGAGGCGGCGGCGCAGGATTCCCTGCGAGACATGTACAGGCAAGCCACACCGCACATGGAGGAGTACCTCGCGTCCAGCAGCCACCGCGTGGACCCGTTGTCGGTGGAGCGGCCGCTGGCCCACGCCGTGGCGTTCAACTCCGACGCCGAGGCGGAGGATCAGCTGAAGTGGGAGGGCTTCTACGCGGAGCCCTACGTGGATCAGGTGCCCACCGGCGACCTCGACGACGTGGCCCACACCTTCATGCTAACCAACCGCTGGCACCGCGAGGCGGCGGCGAAGAAGATGCTGGAGCAGCTGCGCAGCACGTACGGGAGGAAGAGCCGTCGCTTTGACTACCAGAAGATGGGCGATGTTCTGGAGATCAACAACGCCAAGGTGCAGCCAAAGGGGTTTCCAACGCTTACGCGGGGATTGAGGCCAACTCCGTAGGCGTGATACAACTGTCGGAGGAACGAGGAAGAAACTACCAGGGAGGCACGTGGGAGATGAAGGAAGAAAACGCGTTGAGCGGCGGGTAACTACACGGCGGAGGGGAGGGAAGGGAGGGGGAACGAAAAAAGAAGCAGAGGCCACTATTACGTGTGGTCCTTTTCCCTGCGGCCCTCTCAGCGTGTGTGCGCAGCTGTGTGCACGGCGGCGTAAAAAAATACATGAACTGTGCGAGCTGCAGTCCGAGACAAGCGGCGGGCTGTCGTCTGCCCTTTTTGCTCTCTTGGCATCTCTTCCCCATAACTTTTCCCCCACTCTTTCTTTCCTTTTCT